TTTTGCTTCTATTAAAACAGTCCACCATAAGCATTATTATAGCTAAATTTTTGTTTCTTTATTCAGTATTTTTAGAATTTTAGTTAACTCTGGTGTAAGGTTTTCTTTTTTAATTAAAATTTCATTTTTACTCAGCATTCAAAATAATGAGTTTCATTATGAGATTTTCATATACTTACCTCACTGTACATGGCCTGTACTTGCTCTATATCAACTACTCTTCCCCCTCTCATTGGTTTCCTTTCACCAGGCAATTCTCCTGCTTTCATATGTCTAGACCTATACTCACACAACAAATTTAAATGTATTCATTTGCCAAAAGACATAATATTTGTGGTGATTTGAAAGAAAAAAAAAAGCCCCCAAAGAGAGTAACAGTATTATGAGGTGTGGCCTTGTTTGAGTGCATACATGCACGCATGCGTGCACACACATATGCACGCTCGTATACACCCCCACACACACCCCACACACACAGTCTTCCTCCCTCCCTCCCTCTCTTCTTTCTTTCTTTACTTTTTAACCTTTCCTCTCTCCTTCCTTCCCTTCTTTCCTACTGGGTCTCATGTATCCCAACTTACCATGGACCCTATGTAACCAAGGATGACCCCCTAAAATTTATTTTTGGGGGTGGTGCATGCCATGGTGCCTCTGTAAAGATCAGAAGACACCTTGCAGACGTTGGTAGTTCTTTTTTAATTGTGTAGATTCCAGGGATCAAACCCACTTCAGTAGGCTTGATGCCAAATATCTTTACCTGATTAGCCATCTTGGTGTGTGTGTGTGTGTGTGTGTGTGTGTGTGTGTGTGTGTGTGTGTGTGTGTGTTTCTGACTGAAGTAGATATTTTAAAAGAAAGAAATAATGATCTGTAAGAGAAAACAGAAAAAGAACCCTGACTAGTGTCAGAAGTAACTTCATTGAATGCATGATTCTATGCTGCTGAAAGTGGTTAATGGGTTTAAAGAGCTGGGATGAAAGGATAGGAAATTTGTTTTTTTGGAGACTCTTCTAGACACAGAACATAGTTATTCAAAGACATGTGACATGTTTAGGGAACTAAAAGAAGGCCAGTACCTATGGAACACTGATAATAGTAATAATAGTATAAAACATGACTGTGTGTCAGGCTAAACAGAGATTTATATGCTATGTTATAGACTTTGTTCTTTAGTTCAAGAGTTTTAAACTAAAGGGCTATTTATTGTAGGGTGAATCTACTAGATAGGGAATAGAGTGATTTTTTGGAAATAAGTTAGGAAGCTGCTGCAGTGTTTTGTCGTTGTTGTTGTTTTGGTAAGAATGATAGCTTGGATTATATTAGTGATTGGAAATGGAAAGAATTTGACAGATTCAAGATATTTTTCAGGTAAAATAGATTCAACTTGGAACACAGTGTTCAGATTATTTTTAGCAGAACTTCTCAGAAGTAGATTTTTGGGCACAGAGGACAGAATTATTTTAAAAGCTTATATTAGATAGGAAATTGCTTTCCAGATAGATTATTCCAGCATTTCCCCCATTAATAGTGTACGTTGTGCTCACTGCTGTGTACCCTTATCAGTAAAGAACATCTCTTTTCTTTTCTAGACATTGAGCTATTTTAGTTTTGAATGGGGATTGTTTTTACCAACTATAATAATATGGTAATTTTTAGAAATTCATTATGTATTATCTCCTTAATTTGGTTTCAGAAAGTATGAATTGGGGCAGGGGGGCACTGGAGAAATACCTTAGTGGTTAAGAATACTTGATCTACAACCATGAAGAGACCCGAGTTTGGATCTTAGTGTCCATGGTTTCTTAGGCCTGCTTTTGTAACCCCCAGTGCTATGGAGAGAAGAGACAAGAAGTTTGCTGGATAATGGTAGCTGTCAACATTGCAGAAAATAAAAACATGTAAACTCCAGGTTTACAGAGAGACTACCTCAAAAGAATAAGGCAGTGTATGTCAAGGGAAGATTTGGATACCTTCCTCTGGCTTCCACTAATTGGTGCACAAGCAGACACACCCATACATATACCTGGGCATACAACATATACAAATATCCCATGGGACACACACACACACACACACACACACACACACACACACACACACACACACACACAAATTTGGTTCTTAAAATTCAATCTCTAAAGCTAAAGCCAAAACCAAAGACTTGATGGGACTATTGTCTTAGAAACAAGAAAAAAGATATATGTGAGCTCTATTTGAATCAGAGTAAGCACAACCAAAAAATGTTTGACATTTTAAATAATCTCAAATTACTACAGTGCAGTCAATACCAAGAATCCTGCTTTCCTAAATGCCCTATGATGAATTTGGGTTTAAGAATGCAAAATTCACAAAGAGGGGATTGCAGAACTATTTTAAGGCCTCTGTAATGCTTTCTTTCTTCCTTCCTTCCTTTCTTTTTTTTTTTCAAATAAGATTTTTGATTTGTCACTATTAAAAATCTGGATTTTAAACAGATTCTCGGACTGGTGGTTCTTATCCATCAGCTCGTTCAATTTTAGCACCTGTCTCATCACCAGTAGTTTTTCCAGAACTACCATTTTCACCATGGATCTCCACGAGTTTTCCCAATTCAAACTTGGGTTTCTTCAGCATTTTTACTTTTCTAACAGTGAAATCATTAAGAGGATAAATGGACTGGCAAGCCTTTTTTTTAAATGTCTTTCCCAATGCTGTCTGGAATCAATTTATTAACCACTTCCTTCAAGTCATTTGTCTGCACTTTTCGTGTCATGATTTCCATCATCTTCTTGCGGATCTAGCAGACCTGCTGGTGCTATGTATAGGAGGTCTTGCGTATTTGGTTGTTGCATTTTTTTTTTTTAAAAAAAAAGTGAAACCAACACAAAACAGATGCAGCAAATAAGCATCGGTTGCCTTGACATCAACATGTACTTCAATCATGGTCTGCCACTTTTTGACCATGAAACACATTTTGTCCCGGGTAAGATCCGTGCCATGGAAGTTAGTCAGACAGTTTTTGCCCTGAACATCCTCAGTAATTAGTCTGTATTTTCTAAATGAAACTTCGTCATTCTGTGGATCGGCAAGGCTTACCTCAAACACATGACCCTTGAGGCCATCAGATGCAATTTTGGTTCCTTGAGTCCTCGTGACTAGTGTTTTTCCAATATTCCTAATATTGAACATGGCTGGAGCTTTCATATGATACCAGTCTTTCTTTGAAAATGGGTCAACCACTTTCTTCTTGGCTCCCTTCTTCCTGCCTTTTGTCAGGCGCTTGTTCTTGCTGGCCGCCATGGTGTTGCTGAGAGAGCCAAATGGGGCAATGTTTTATTTCTTATAGATAAAAAAAAATCTATGGTTCATGTTCCCATGCCACTGTTGAAAAAAAACTCTTTTAGCAGTGTGCAGGTGACAATAGATGAAAGTAAAAAGTTAAAGAAAAGTGATTAAAGTGTGTGTGTGTGTGTGTGTGTGTGTGTGGGCTGGGGTGCTGGTCTTGAGCTTGCTGTCTAGCCTAGGATGACCTTGAGTTTCTGATCCTTCTGCCTCCATATCTTGAATGCTGGGATTGGGATTATAGGCACAGCCCACTTTGCCCAGTTATATGTGGTGATGGAAATAGGATCTTGGATATCTTTATGCTAGTCAAGAAGTCAACCAACTGAGCTACATTCCCAGTTCAGAAATGAGTAACATTGAAAAAGCAATTGAAATTGTATTTTCCTCCAAAATTTTGTTTAAAAATAATTTTATTCATTCTATATCTCTGGAAAAGTTTCCTCTTCCTCCTTTCAGTTCCCCCATCCCCAACCGCTCTCTGTTCCTACTCCCAATCCACTCCTCATCCACTTCTGTTTATGAAAGGGCAGTTCTCCCATGAGTATCAATACAACATAGCATATCAAGTTGCAATAAGACTAAGTACCTCCCCATGTATTAAGGTTAGGCAAAGTAACCCAGTATGTGGAATAGGGTCCCAAGAGTGAGTCCCTGTTCTCACTATTAGGAGTTCCATGGTATGACCAAGTTACACAACTGTAACATATATGCAGAGTGCCTAGGTCAGTCCCGTACAGGCTCCCTGGTTGTTGGTTCAGTATTTGGGTGCTCCTATGAACCCAGATTAATTGATTCTGTGAGTTTTCTTGTGGTGTTCTTGACCCCTTTAGCTTCTACAATCTTTTCTTCCCCTCTTCACCAGGATTCCCCAAGCTATACCTAATGTTTGGCTGTGGGTCTGCATCTGTTTCCACCAGTTGCTGGATGAAATCTCTCTGATGGCAATAGGGCTAGGTACCAATCTATGTGTGTATAGCAGAATATCATTAGGCATCATTACATTGGCATCTTCTTCTCCAGTCATGTTTGATTCTATCTCAGGTCTCTGAGTCATCTAGCCTGTGGGTCCTGATGCTCCAGGCAGTGTCAGGGGTGGACTTACTCTCCTGGCATGGGTTTTAGGCTAGACCAGTTATTGGTTGGGCACTCCCTCAATCTCTAGGCCAACCTTACCTGAGCACATCCCATAGGCAGGACAGACTGTAGGTCAAAAGTTATGTGGCTGGATTGGTTTCCCATTCCCTCCACTTGAAGTCTTTCCTCGCACAGGAAATGGCTAGTTCAGGCTATGGTGCTCTGTTGCTAGGAGTCTTATCTGGGGTCATTCTTAGATTCAGAATGAAAGTTATGTTTGTATTGTTTTTATGCATTTCTTAAATATTTATATAATTCTGCAGTATTAAAGTTTGGTTGTGGTTACTGAGAGTTTGGTGGATAAAGGTGTTTGATGCCAAACCTGAATGAAGATCTGAGTTCAGTTCCAGGGAGCCACTGATTCTTGAAAATTGTCTTCTGACCTCCACATTCATGCTTTGTCTTGCATGTACCAACACATACATACAATTATGAGTGAATGAATGAATATACTATAATATTATAACGTAGCTAAGTAAGATTGGTAACATTTGAAATGGCATTACTTCATCCTTACTGCTTTGTTTTCTTTCTTTCAACAGTTAAAAGATGTTGATACTAGAAAAATCATTAAAGCAATGCTTTCTTATGTGTGGCCCAAAGACAGGCCAGATCTCCGAGCCAGAGTTGCCATCTCCTTGGGATTTTTGGGTGGTGCAAAGGTAAGAATATGCATGCGGTAACTTTTTCTAGTAAGCAAGTTACTGTCAGTAGAACATGTTCAACTTTTAGGACTTTAATTAGTTTGCATAATTATTTCATTTGTTGAGCAGAAATTATAATGATACTGGGAGATATTTTATTCTGAATCAAAAGTCTGATAGTATTAACTTAATGGAATTCACTCCTAACACAAGTATATAAGCTGCATAAACATTGGTTGTAAGAAAGCATAAGGAACTTTATAAAAAAATTTCCTCAGAACCTCACTGGTGCCTATTTTTAAACATCATTTCTTTTTTTAAATTATTTATTTTTTATTTTACATGTCGATCCCAGTTCCCCCTCCCTCCCTCCTTCCCTTCCTTCCTCAGCCCCTCTGTCCCTCCGTCCCTCCTTCCTTCTCTCTCTGTCCCCTCACATGCACCCTGACCACCCTCCCCTCCCATTCCTCCACCCCAATTCCATATGTAGGGCAATGCCATCCAGTTGGGGTCATGTAGATCTGTCAAGTCATTTGAAGTAGGGACTAGGAATTCTGTCTCTAGGTTAAGGGAGTATCCCTCCATGGGGGGTGTGTCCGCAAGGTCCTTTTGTGCACCAGGGATACATCCTGGTTCCACTGTCTGAGGTCCCTTAGATTGCTCAGTCCTTCTAGCTGAGACCCATATTCAGGAGGGCCTGAGTCAGTCCCATGCTGGATTCCCAGCTATCAGTCTGGGGGCCCATTAGCTCCTCCTTGTTCAGGTCCACTGTCTCTATGTGTTTCTGCAGCGTGGTCTTGTCCTTCCTCTTTGCATCTGGATTCTAGTTCGACTCAGTGTTTAGTTATGGGTGTTTGCTTCTGTTTCCAACAGGTACTAGTTGAGGGCTCCATGATGGTGGATAAGTTAGTTGTTGATCTCACTCTCCGGGAAGGGCATTTATGGTAGCCTTTCCACGGTTGCTCAAATTGTTAGTTGGCGGCAGTCTTGTATATAACCCATCTTGGCTCCACTGAAAGGATGATACTTCAGAGGAACTGGAAGTAAGTTTAGAGAGAGAGAAAGCTCCTAATATGAAATACCTTCACTATAAAGCAAGACATTCATAATGTGAAAAATAAGAGCTGTGATTTTGAGTAACTCATTAATATGATTAGAAGTTTGCTTTAAGAAGTTAATTTGGCTCTGTTGTTTAAGCTGAATTAAAGTAGTAAGAGATCTACTCTAAGGATACATACCATCCATCGATTTCATGCCTTCATATGGCAAATATTTATCAACTAGTTATAAGTGTAATAGTGTAGGTAAGAAGTAATAGCAGACTGTACAGAAGTCATGATAGAAAAGCAAAATTGTGGGTGGGAAAGATGTCAGACATATTGTGAGGTAGAATTAAGTTATAGGAACAGATTGGTTATTTAGGAGTGAAAAGAGTACAATTCTAAGTTGATGCTAGGAATGCAAGAATGATAATCCTTTCAAAAGAAGTAGGTAGTAAGTGAAATCTTGTTTGTAGAATAAAGATTTCACTTTTGAGCATGTTGAGATTCTAGCAGAATATCTAAATAGAGAGTAGTACATTCAGTGATACAGACTGCAGAGCAAGCTCAGGAGTCAGCCCAGAGTTGGAGAAATGATGAGATTATAGTCAGAAAATGACAAATTAAGTAGATTACCAAACAGAGGGCAGAACTTTTGTTCTATACAGAAGAAAACATAAAGAAAAATTAGGTAATTGAAAGGATAAAAGTGAAACCATAGGCTGACTCTTCATTTTCACTTCTCCTTTGTCATCTGTTTGCTCTGTTGAGAACCTTCCCACTAAATCTTACTCATTCCTGAAATATCAATGGCCTTAAATCAAGCTATTAAGCAGTAGATCATGAGTTCATATTTCACTGTATTAGTTTAAGCTGAGTAGAGGACAATATTAGAAATTAATTTAGTAGCTAATGTTGAGATTTTTTGACTTTTGTGTTCATTTTAGCACAGCATTGGTTGCTGGATTATCTTTTACATACAAATTATTAAGGAGAAAGATGATTCTGAACTCTTATGCAAGGCAAAATTAGTGATTTAGCATTTATTTCTTTATTAGCTGAATGTAAGTACCTTGTTAACAAGTAAAAGGCAGATGGTTTTCTTTGTTGAGATTTGAAGAGGGCAGGTTAGAACATGACTAATTAGTCTAGCTGAAGGGAGGAGTCTTCAGTAATGACATTTACATTAGGATATATTTTTAGAGTATATTCAAGTCCTTCAAAAATACAGATTTCTGTTGCTTGGTGACAGGTCAATATCAAGGTGTGAAATCTAGTTAAGCTAACATCGTTGAAGATTAAAATATTTTTAGAATGCTAATATTTGGTTCTTTAGTCAACAAATAAAACTCATAGAATGGGAATTGCTGTTCCAAATTCTTGCAAACAGACTAGAAGTCAACAAAAGTGTATAGAGAAACTTTTCAAAGTATGTTTGACTCCTATTAGACGTAAATAGGAAGAGCTTGGTGGGAATTATTATGAGTACCCATAGAAGGCGGCATACAGAAAATACTTGTTTTTGAACTTTTTAAAAAATTGAAAATAGTCTTCTCTTATATAGTACCTTCCAATCACAGTTTTGCCTATATACATTTCTAGTTCCCCTCCACCTCCTCTCTACCCCAGGTCCACTCCCCCATCTTCAGAAAAGAGCAGGCCTCCAAGAGACAATAGCTAGGCAGGACAAAATAAGATACAATAAGACAACATGAGAGCCCTTACTGTTAAGAGATTGTCATGCATCTCAGAAGAAACTTTGGATTTTTAAATGAATTTTTATTTAAATTATAAACAATCTTACTCTACATACCCAATCACAGTTCCCTCTCCCTCCTGTCCTCCTGTTTTCCCTACCATCTCACCATTCCACCCCCATTTATGCCTCAGGGAGGGTGAGTCCTCCCATGGGGGATTATCAAAGTCTGTCATATCATTTGGGGCAGGGCCTAGGCCCTCCCCCATGTATCTAGGCTGAGAGAGTAGCCCTCCATAGGGGATGTACTCCTGAAGCACATTTGTGCATTTGGGATAAATACTGGTTCCACTGCCAACGGTCCCATAGGAGGAGACTTTGAACGTTTAAACATTGTTGAGACTATGATAGACTGATAGATTATGGGAGCTTTTGATATTGGACTGGATGCTTTTTTTTTTCCATTATGAGATGGCTATAAGTCTTTGGGGCCCAGGAAGTAGAATGTGGCATTTTGAAAGAGAATGGCCCCCAAAGGCACTATTAGGAAGTATGGCCTTGTTAGAGGAAATGTGTCACTGTGGGGACAGGCTTTGAGATCTCTTTATCAAGCTTCCCTCAGTGTGAGAGTTAGTCAACTTACTCCAGCACCATGTCTGCCTGCATGCCTCATGCTCTCCATCATGATGGTAATGGACTGAACCTCTGAAACTATAAGCAAGCCACCCCAATAAGAGTTGTTATGGTCATGGTGTCTCTTCATAGCAATAGTGAACACTAAAACAAATGCTTTGTACTAATGTAGGCACCATTATATGCTAGTTTTTTCCAAACTTCACATACTTTAGGACTATTTTAGTGTTGAGTTAATAAACATCAGTTTGAATGCCTGCCATCCAGATTAGATCTTTTATAATACATGTTTTGAATTATACATATCACTTTTATTATTTTTTTGTTTTACAAATAAGGATAAATTAAAAGTTCTATTTGTTTTGTTTTGGGTTTTTGAGACAGGGTATTATGTAGCCTAGGCTGACCTCCAATACACAATGTAACCGAACTTCTGATCTTCCTGATTACACCTCCCAGGCATTGGGATTAGAGTTGTGTGCCACACCACACCATTGTTTCAGTACTGGAGATAGAACCCAAGGCTTAATACCTGCTAGACGAGTATTCTACCCACTAAGCTATATCTCCAGCCTATAATTTTATTTCTATATAGTTTAAAATACTTTAAAATTTCTCTTGAAACTTTTTTGACCTAGTGCTAGTAGAAGTGTGTTGGTTGCATAAATCTTTGTAATATGCCAGCTGTCATTTTGTTACTGTTATCTGAGAACATACTTTAGGGTTTATTTTTGGCCTGGAACATGGTTTATATGGTCAATGATTTTGTGAGCTTGAGGATGGTGTATTCTGCTATTGTTGATTGAAATATAATACATTGAATGTTATTTAGATGCAAATGATTGATAATGTTTACTTTAACCATATCCTTACTTACTTCCTGCTTGTTACTTCTATTAATTACTAATGAAGTTTTGGAAGTCTTCAACTATAATAGAGGATTCTTTTTTATTTCTTGATATTCATCAGATTTTACCACAAAATTTTGCCATTTAAAAAATATATATGGGGCACACACTACTATTTTTATTATTTTATAAATTTTTTTCTTATTTTACATATCAATCCCAGTCCCCTCTCCAGCCCATCCTCCCATACCCACCTGCCCCTGTCTCATTCCCTATCCCCTCTCCAGGGAGGGTGATGCCTTCCAGGAGGGATCATCAAAACCTGTCACGTCATTTGGGATAGGGCCTAGTCCCTCCTTCAACATACTACTATTGTTAATGTGCTTTAGAATTGGCTGCTTCATTATGACAATGATCCTCTTTACATTTCCTTAACATTAAAAAGTGTTTTTTGAAGATTAATAAAATTATTGCATCTTTATTTTGATTAATAGTACTATGATGTACATTTCTCTATTTTCTTTTAATCTTTTCTGTCTTTTATACTTAAAAGCAAAGTTGTGTCAGGTTGCTTATTAATCTCCTCTGACCATCTTTTGGTATAATTTTATAATATTAACCATATGTGTAGCTTTTTTATTTACTGTTGTGATTTGAATGAGAATGGCCCAAATGGTCTTATATATTTAAATTCTTGGTCTTTAGGAATGGAACTGTTTGGAAAAGGTTAAGAGGTATGGCTTTGGACGAAGTGTGTCACTAGGGGTAGGCTTTGAGGTTTAAAAAGCTACTACATTCCCAATTAGTGCTGCATCTCT